CTGCGATGAGATTTATTCAATCAATGGGTGATTTTATTTGTTATACCTATTTTTTGGAAAATCTGGGTGCGTGAAAAGGAGATAAACCCATGCAGATTATTACTTATTCCATTCACATAGGTAGCGTGGGGCATTTGCAAAACACCTACTTTTCATATGAGGTGTACGGATCTCGATCAATTTAATTCGTTATTTAAGCACGTAAAAATATAATATTACTGAGGCAAACACTGCTTTATTTATTTGATATGTTATTTTTATTCGTCATTATTGTTAAAAACAAAGAATGTAATTATTGATGTAACAAACCGGTCTACATGTTATTGACGACAGTAAATAAATAAAATATCGATAAACATAATAGTTATAAGAGGCCTCCGAATAATGGAGAGGTAATCAAATAAAATCAATTAAAATCTGTTTAGTCCAGAATTGGCTTCCTCTGTTATTATTGGTTTAATAATCTCCAACAATCGTTCGTACATCGCCGATCTAGTTTTGTTACTCAGCGGTAGCTTGACCAGATATTGATGAATCAACAAAAGTACTTGGGCCAATTGTTGCTCAATCTCCGCGTTACGTGTTCCAAGCCTCTCCATGCGAACCTGAACGCCATCCAGCGCCCTCTGTAACAGCTCTGCCCGAGAATTCACGTCCATCCCTTCGCTCATCAACACGCTAAAATATATCGCATTCAACTGCGGATCTCCATCGCCTCCTGCCTCCGCTGCCACCATCCGAACGCATCCCTGCAATGGAACACGCCAAAGGTAATTATCCAGTTTCTAATAGTTTGAATAAACCACTTCTGAACTCTGCCCATGCAGAAAACTAAAACATTTAATTACCGTCACCGACAGCAACTGCAGCAGCAACAGCACCCAAGCCGCAGCAATGATTAATCGAGCGGAAGTTTGTCGTTCCGAGTACTGGTGGTGATGCATTTTTCCACCGACACTTTCCACTCCTCACTTAATCCTTGCACCCACCAACCAACAACAGTGTTCAGCGTGTTGATCTCAGCTGCCCAGGCTCAAATCAATCAAGCGGCTCCTTTTGCATGCGCCTCCTGAGTTTTGTGCTGGGTGTCGTTCTGTCAGTTTGAAACTTTTCCCCCCTACTCTTTCACAACACACAGCTCACTAGATCGACTCGCAAAAGTTGAAGTTAACTGTAACACGATTACCCAATGGGCGGTTGGAATTGACTCTCGGTTTTACTTTTTTTCTGTCGATGTATGCTACTTTTTGCTGGCTGTACACTGAAGTACCTACCTATCTACTCGTTTGCCACCTCATCAAATTGGCTTGATTGAACAAATGTTTTTAATTTGCTGTGGGCTTGAACCGGTGAGGTGCGGTGGATGGAGTTTGAGGGAATGACAGTTGAAGGGAATCGAAAGCCCAATTCTGGTTGCTTCGATTTGAAATGTGTGTGACGGTACTAATTGCAGTTTTACTCACGTGCGGTCAGATGACATTAATTTAATTTGTATTTATTGCCCGGTTGATGGTTCACGTTGTTGTTGGTTTGTTGCGTGCGAATGGATGTGAAACAACATCCTCCTGGACGGGCAGACGATTTATTGAAATTAAATTCAGGATTTGTTGATGCAATCACTTTAACAAGCGAAGCTAATTGTTGTCTGTTTCAGAATTATATAGACACGGTTAAAATTTCATGAAATTCAAAAATGTGCCACTTCCATCAACTGTTCATTTTCGCTCATTGTTTCATCATCCTGTATGTTGGAGGAGCAAAAAACGGAAAACCAAAAGACTCGATCCACCGACCGCTCGTAAGCATTCTCCATTTAATAAACAATTTAATTGATCTCATTTCAATAACGGTTTTAAATGAAAATTAAACAACACTGCAGCATTTCTGACCGCATTCGTTTCATCCATTCCGGACGATATCCCCATTCGGACGTGGGCAGAATGTACGGACACTAAAGTTCCCTATTCTGCCTCTCTAAAAAATGTACCATGTTTGCTTTACCGATCCGTCGCCCCCACCGGCCCCGAACCAACCCCGGGAACACCGGAAAACATTGTTTCGATCCGATCCATACCGGGGAGCTAAAACTTTCAATCTCATAATAATGATGGCGGGATGGTCCCGAGTCCGATCCAAATTCTATGGAGTGTTAATTGATTTCGCCCGCCTCTGCTGCTCTGACTGGACGTGTGTCGTCGGACGGCGAATGGAAACGATAGGCCATATGCCTGAGAGTGGACCTGGTCTGGTAAACCTAGGCAAAAAGAATGGTTATGGATCGTTTTGATGGAGCACAGACTCGGTTCCCTCAGGTATGGGTGTAAGATGCACCGAGGCATGAGTTTAGGAGTAGCACATCGGGAAAAATATTTCAGGTGCACTGTCGTGCTTCATTTTTTTCTCCTCTAGGTGAATAGCTGGATTTGCCTTTTTGAAAATAACTCACTGAAGTGTGGAATGTTTAATAAAAATAACAACGTTTCGATGTTTTATTGCTAAAAGAATGGCGTTCTTCTGCTTTAGCGATTAGGTCCCAGCTGAAACTTTACGCCTGTTTTAAAAGTATTCTTAGAACGGAGTCACAGTTGATAATTGGGTTCTGCAATTTCGAAAAAAATTATCGGTTACCGAGAGCACAATGATTTTTTTTTGAACCCATAGAATTTCATCAAGATTTAAAGCAAAAGTATAACTTCACTGTTTGACATGAATCTAACACACTGACAGCTCGATCCCATAACAACACCAAAGGTTGCTAAGATGGTGATTTTTGCTAATGTAATCGCAATTATTTAAAATTGGTCCAGCGTAAAATGAAATTTTGGATTTCGGTTCCATTTTTAACGCATATTATGAATATGCATTACCTTAATACTCTTAAAAACCTAATTGAGACCTTTCTAAGTCTGTACGGAAGAGGGTTTCACAATAATGGATTAAACAGACTATATTCATATTCAGGTGGATGCTAAATCCGGAAAACTGGCACATCTTCTTCTTCCTCGCATTTCAAGCTTATTGCGTATGGCATACTAGCTTATGGCGTGCTCTCAACTTAGTGTTCTAGATGCACTTCCACAGTTATTAATTGAGAGCTTTCGATGCCTGTACCATTTTTGCATTAGTATAATTGTGTGGCAAGTCCAATCATACTTCTATGCCCAGGGAAGTCGAGAAATTTTCCAACCCGAAAAATTCCTAGACTGGACCGGGAATCGAACCCAGCCACCTCCAGCATGGTCTTACTTTGTAGCTGTGCCTTCACCGACTGAGCTAAGTGAGGTCTGGCACATAGATTTTTGATATAGAAATCTGGCAACCGGTGAAAATGCCCAAGCCTTTCCAGACCGTTTAGGTTTTGAGCAGCATAAATATATTGTATCAGTATTAATACTTACAACTGTATACACCCAGTCAGAAAATGTTAGAATCTTTTACAGATTTGCATAAAAAAGTATGTAGAATTTGAAATGTTCTACCGCATGAACAAATTCTGTACTGAGGTCGTCGGAAGGTTTTTTAAATAATTTATTAATTTCCAAGGGGTATGTAACTCAGCACAGAGTGCCGACAGTAGATTCGGCGCAGTTTGGGCACATCCATCTGCACATCTTCGGCACAATCTCTTAGGCATTGGATTGTTCGTTAAATAAAATGGGAGCACTGCTGGACAGCTGTCATTGAAGTTGTTCACAACATTACGTGCTGTTTGACTGTGTATTTCAGAGGAACTCAGACCAGAAATTCACTTCTCAGTCAGCTGTCGTTTGTCATGATGCCAGTCATAAGTCTTTCAGTGGTGGTGGTTGAATACGGAAAACTCAAAGGAGAAGACTACTGGCTAATCAAGAACTCCTGGCCTAACTACTGGGGCAACGATGGATATGCTTTGATGGCGGTGAAGGGCACCAATGATGTGACGTATGTAAATTTGAAGTCATATTGCTGTTTAAATTAGAATTAAGTAAAATAGTAGTTTTATTTTCGGATATGTGTAACATAAAATCGACGTCGGAATGGATTATGCCAAGAAGGAGGATCCCAAGCTAAGACGTTCGATTTTGCCATCGGGTTGGAGTTCCGGGAGAATTCGATCGTACCCAAGTAACAATTTGGGTTTTATGAAGGTTCTGTAGACCATGATTAAGATTTGTAGAGTGCTTTAAAACCACAATAAAACTTGCAATGTTACTTGGGTAGTACCTCAACCCAAGGGCGTAGCCAGGTTTCGAGCTAGGGAGGGGCGAAAAAAAAAATTACCATGGAAAATTTGGCCGAATGCCATTTCACCGAACGCCATTTCCTCGAAAGCCTTTGTGTTGCCGAGTTTAGGGGGGGCAGTCGCCCCCCCCCTGCCCCTATCTGGCTACGCCTATGCAACCAGTGAAATTCGATTTAAAAATGCAAGTTAATGAGGTTGAGTGGAAACAATACAAATTCCGTGTGATTGTGCCATGAAAAGTAGCTCGGTATTGTTCAAGTGAGTTTGGTTTGGTAGAGGACCAGGCTCGAGAGTGGCAAGATGTGGCCTTGTAAGGACCCAACTTTTCAGCAACAAATCCCCAGCAATCGGTCAATTGGTCATTTACCAAACCAAACTCACTTGAACAGTACCGAACTACTTTTCACGGCACAATCACACTGAATCTTTATTGCTTCCACTCAACCTAATTAACTTACAATTTTAAATCGAATTTCACTGGTTGAGGTACTACCCAAGTAACATTGCAAGTTTTATTGTGGTTTTAAAGCACTCTACAAATCTTAATCATGGTCTACAGAACCTTCATAAAACCCAAATTGTTACTTCGAATCGAATTCTCCCGGAACTCCAACCCGATGGCAAAATCGAACGTCTTAGCTTGGGATCCTCCTTCTTGGCATAATCCATTCCGACGTCGACAACCTCCGAGAGCTTCTTGCCCAGAATTATCACCTTCAGCAATTCCTTTTTCAGATTGAGCAGAAAGGTGTAGTGCTTCTGAATCGTTTCCGTCGGATTAACCAGCATCGTTCGGACGACATTGGAGCAGTAGGATCGATCCGAGAGTGCAGATAAAGATGATCGATCCGAAGTGCAGATAGTTCTTGTCGCTGAAAACATTGAAATTCAAGCTATAATTGCCACCTGGCTGCCAGGTAGGTAGGTAGGTAGTTGGTTTGGTATGTTTTAATTTCTTATCAGCATCGATAACCTCCATGATGTGATCCTTGAGGTACTTGTTAAATACGTCTACCGTCACCAGGCAGGCCTTCTTGATGGTGATAACCTCGGGGTCCTCCTTGGAGCACATGATGTACCCGATTGGGACGCTGATGTCCACGGTGTCGAAGCTCTTGCCCTTGACGAAGGCTCGCCACGATTCACAGAATTCACCCGGGAAGTTGTCCTTGGAGAAGACGCCCAACGTTTTGCCATCCTTGGATCCCTTGATCGCCACCAGCAGCTTTTCAAAATTGGCCTTGTCTTTGTCGTTCTTATCCCGAACCAACAGTTTCACGGACGGAATGCCCTCCTCACTATCCTTCTCGATCTGCTTCAAGAAGTCGATCTTCTTCCTGCTGGTCAGGAAAAAGATGGACTTTTCGCACAGAACCGTCATCGTATCGGTCAGCTCATATCCCAGCAGCTTGGTCTGCAGCGAGGTGGATTTGCTGTAGGTGGTTTCCTCGTCTACGCCAACCGCCGTCAGAATACAACCCATCTTCTGCAGCTAACTAATCTAATCTAATCTAATCTAATCTAATCTAATACAAACGCAGCCAGTACGACAAAGCATCCTGGAAAATGATTAGGTCTAATCATTGTTCTTGTCTAATTGATGTTTACAGCATATCTGAGATATAATATAAACATCAATACGGCCAGGCCTACTGCGTTGTATTTGCCGCAAAGATGATTCTTGAAAATGAATGGGAACATTTCTTGAATCTACAGGGGTGGAAGGATGCGTGGACATACCGTACCAAACGCTCCGAGTTACTATGTGTAGTTGTGTGTAATATGTAAATATTTATACAATATTAAAGAATCATAAAATAATGCAATGGAATGATCTTACCGAATTTTCTTAATAGGATGCTTTGTTGATTGTTCATTAACTCTTGATTGCTTGTAATACTTATGAATATTTTAGGTGGACAAAAAGGCGAACTAAGAGGGGGACGCCTGAGCTTTTTCACATTTATATTGCTGTGAAGCAACTGTAAACTCTAGAGGGAATTTATATCTGTAACTGTAACCAGTTCGATTTTGTTTGCTAACCTGGTTAAAATGACATATTTATTTATCTTAAAGATAAATCGTCCCGCTCATACCATTGTAGGGGTAAGAGGTGGGACCATCATCATTCTATTCTATGTTGGATGTGGAGAAAGGTTTGCAGCAGGGATCGTTCTGGTAAACTAATACTGATTGAAGTGATTTATAATAGAAAAGACCTAAACATATCATTGTTTGCTTCTTCCAACATGTTACATGGATGAATCTTGCAAAATACACCTACTCCAGGCTTTCGACGATCCCCCGTGGCTGCACATTTCGGGAAACGGAACTCAACGAAACATCCATATTGGCAACCCTCTGCTTCGTGCCCCATTAGCCATCTGCTCATGCTACCCGGCAAGAGCTTTGAATCTCACTCATCTGGTACACAATTCACACGCGTATCTATTATGCACTTTTAAACATTGATTTAATAGCTTCGCGACATTTTACAAGCAATACAGACATTAAGTTAAAATTGATAAATCAGCGGAAGAAAAACACGCAGCAAAAATTCACACGTCAGTCTTCAAGCGCGGACTACTTCGATCTCTCCAATCCATCTTCTGCAGCGAACGTGGGAAAACTCTGGTTCCTTCCAGTTGGCGTAGAGGCGTTTTATTCGTCAGTAGAAGGAATCCTTATCGAGCACGATATTCGACATTTTCGGGGCCGTTCAACTGTAGCAACCAACGGTTTTCGATGCGGGAACACTTTCGATTGCTCTCCGGCCTTTTTTTTTTGTTGTGTCCTGTTGGACGGCTGAGACCGCTCATGGTCCATTTCACCAGCATTCCTCCTTTTGTTGTTGCCAGACCGATGTTATTTTTGCGATTGCAAACCAAAACATTCAAGCTGTCAGAAATACCGGGTTGCCATATATACCATAATATTCGTATTTTACAAAAAAAAAATCGTAGCTTTCCATCGACCAATTTTTAAGGTAGTTCAAGATCAATTTTCCAGGATGATTTGGAAATTTGTATATGCTGTTTTGTATTTCAAATGATGTATTTAAGCTCTCCGAGGATTTTTGAATATATATCACTCGATAAAATAACCTATACGTCGCATTTGAACCTAAAAATATGAGGATCAAAACTCCAGAATAATTTGGACGCCCTAGATCATCCCAAAAAAAATGGTATTCATTTTTGTACTTCAAGAACCAAATTCATTTAAAAGTTTCAAAAATGTCCTAAGAAAATATGGGACTGAAACGATGAAAGATAATTAGTGTGGGTCAAGTTTGTATGGTGGATCACAACCCCTGCTCTTTATATCTGCATTTACATTCCCAACAACTGTGCCAAGTTTGAACGAATTTGGCTACGCCTAATTTGAGTTATGGTAACAATTTTCAAATTTTCGCCAAACAAATTAATATATTCGTTCCGTTTCCCATACAAACTTAAAAGTTCTCCCGCAAATCCAGATAGTTTTTTTTTTTAATTAAGGAGATTTTTAGCCTATGGCTAGTTCATCTCCAGAGAAAGGAGAGGCCTCAGAATGAGTATAAGTAACCTCTAAATGCATGGTATATTAACATTTCGTAAATAACTTTGGTTGCTGGCACTGCAACTTATATGGAAAAATAAAAATATATAAAATAGTGAAACAGAGGACAAACAGAAAACAAAATGATTTAAAACAAGCTACAAACAAATAATCGAAACTTGGAGACGAACCAGCCCAGGGCTGAAAGTCTCCTTAATAAAGATATAAAAATAATAATAATCCAAACAAAACAGAGCTCAGCTGGCATGGATCCAATAGGGGAAATCCATCCAGCTGAGATGTCCTGACGGCCGAAAGGAATTCCTGCTATACCAAGTGGTATAATTTGGCTTCTTTTAAGAAGGTTGCTAATGCTGCCGAGGCCTGAGTATCATTCCAGAGCAGATCCCTGATGCTGGAAGTTAGGCAGAGCCACTCCCGAAGATTTTGGACCTCCGGGCAGTTGCACAGGATGTGTTCGACGGTGTAAGGTACCCCGCAGATTATGCAGCTTCTGCGGAACGGTAGGCCACCATAGTTATAGTAGAGTTTGGTGTGCCCGGTCCGAAGCCGCAAAATCACGCGTTGATCCCTCAGGTTGTCCAGTTCGCTTTATGCGTCAGTTGACCCTTTAACTTTGCGGATGAAGGCAGTTCTTTTGCGGAACCACTCGGCCTCCCATGCCGCTCGAATGGTCCGCATGATCCACCGTCTGACGTCCTCTAGGGGTACCTTGTCGGTGAGTCTGGGACCCGATGTCCCGGCTCCGGCAAGGTGATCAGTAGACTCGTTACCTGGCACTCCGCAGTGTCCGGAAATCAGTGTGTACACGGTGTTCGGTGGGGCGTACTTGATAATAGCCTGGATCCATGGGTGTTTTGGTGCTTCCGAGGTGATCGCTTGAACGACGCTGTGTGAGTCGGTTAAGATAAGTATCGGTTTGTTGGCTGGCGTCGTAGCGGCACGGAAGATCACTGCAGCATCGGCCGAAAAAAACGAGCACTGTGGAGGAAGACTGCAATACCGTCTCCGGAAATTCCGATACCTTCTCCGCTTATCGATCGGGAGCCGTCGGTGTAACGGTGTACGTGGTCGGCATAGTTGAACCCAAGTAACTCGGCGACCGATCTGCACAGAATCACGGATGCATCCCCTGCATTGAAGCGGTATTGATCCGATTGTCCAATTGGATTCTTGAAGAGTGCCAAGTTTTCTCTCCATGCCAATGGACTTTGGCCACTGGTGGGAGGTCGATGTCGGTGGCCGTGCGGAGGACTCTGTTCCCCTCGTCGAGGAGAAAGATCCTATTGCTTCCGGAGGTCTTTGCGGAAAAAGCGGTGGTTTTTGTGGCAATACATGCATTCAAGCAGAAGCCAAAAGGAAGAAGACCCACTTCGGTGCATGCGGCGTCTGCTGTGGAGTTGATGGCAGGAGACCAGATATGATGCGGATGTAGCTGTTTTAGACCGGTGCTAGGGTTCTAACCAGCTTCTCGGAGTCGATACAAGTTATTTCCGTCCTGTAAAGCAACCTACTGTCGATGATGATGGCTCGCGCCACCCGGAACCGAACATCGCGGTTGTTGGACCGGTGAGGCCGAGAGATCGTTTTAACGAGGTTGAGTCTACTGCGGCAGTCCTTTTTGATCTGTTGGAAATGCTGGTCGAAGGAGAGCGTTCGGTCGATCAGTACGCTGAGAACGCGAACTGTTTTCCTGGTTGGAATGGCTTGGTCGTGGATCGTAATTGGGGTGCTATTGACTCGGTGATGAGACGGACATACATGGCATCGGATGCTCTTCCTGGCGGACAGCTGGAAACTTATCAAGTCGGTCCATTTGACGCTTGCCGTAGGGTTCGGATCTGTGTGGGACCGGTGGCCACAATCAGCACATCGTCAGCGTAAACAAATATGTAAATGCGCCAAAGTAGCCGGTCAAATACCCCGTTCATTGCCACCAGAAACAACGTAACTGCGATAACGGAGCCTTGAGGGACTCCGATCTCCTCGCTAAAACTTTTCGACTGCGTATTCCCCACCAATACATGGAATGACCGGTCGGTCAAGAAGTTTCGTATGAAATACATCATATGCCCCTGCAAGCCCCAGTTTGTAAGTTTTTCCAGGACGGCTGGCATCCACGTCCGGTTGAAGGCCTTGGAGATGTCCAATGAGATGATTGCAACGTGGTGTTTCTGGTCGTAGGCTTCCTTGAGGACGTCCCCCAAAGTGGCAAAGTACGTGGACATACCGAAACCTTGTCGAAAGGCATGTTGTCGGTGGTCGAGCAAGCTGTTGGTCTCAAGGAACATCTTGAGTCGACGGTTCACCATCCATTCGAATACCTTGGCCATGCAATAAAATCCAGATAGTAACCAAATTCGTTCAAATTTGTCACGTTTGCTGGAAACCTCAATACAGATAGAAAGAGCAGTGGAGAGCCGGGGGTTGTAAAGTTGACTCACACATCTTAGTATTTTTAAAGGATTCACATTGAAACATATAATCGACATTATTTTCAAAATTGACGATAACAACAACCAGCTGAAAATGTGTACTTTAATTGTTATCTTTGTATTCTAGAAAGATAAAGTACTCGACTGTCGAACGATAAAATTGCAGGTAAGTTTCAACACTCAATTTTGAACTAGCAAATATTCTTCAAACTTTTTGCTCCAGTATCCTGCAAGCGTCGAAAATTCCATCGTGTTCATAATCAAATATCAATTTAGATGATTAATTTATAAATAACAAATCGCAAAACGATTGTGTGCCAACCAACCCGTGAGTTTTTTTTTCTTTCTTCACGTAGCATTTTTCACCAAATTTGCTCGCATCAAACGAATCTACCAATACCCCGATCAAAAGCAAAACCCATTAAAGCTTGTCAGCCAGACACTTTTCAAACATTGTACACTGCGCGTTTCATCAAACTATATGGAA